GCAGGAGAAGTGCAAAAACGCATAATCGCACCGGCTCGCCTGGTGCGTTCCAGCCTGGGTTTTGCATGAAGCAGAGGCACTGCGACACTGGGAACAGTTCATCTGCTAGTAGCACTGCTACTGCTAGTCGATGAATTGTTCCTGATAGAATTGTCCGCGGGTAGTTTTGAGGAGCAAGCTGAAATTATTTTAACACTCTTTAATTTTTCATTTCCAGGACACGTCTAGTTTAATGAAATATTAAAAGTTACTTCATGGGATGAGAGGTATGAATTATTCGTTTAGATTTGCTGGTTGGTCGCGAAAATATATTTTTTCCAAAGAAACGACTCCAACAAGCAACGAAATCACATTGTACGTGATTATGTTCGAGCCATTTGTGTCCCTCTCAATACGTTTATATCAGTCGACCAATGCTGCAGATGTGCAGTGTTCGGTAAGTTTAGATGCCCTGCCGTAGCTACTCAAGCATCATTCTTAGGCATATCGTGGCGCTGAGGAAATTTAAATTTTGTATTTTTGAATGTAACTTTTCGCCATGGATAGAAAGTTTTTGATTTAGGTAAAACCGAGGAGTGGTCGTTTTAAAATACTTAAACATTCCAACTTACATCAGTTTCTTTAGAACGATTATTCAGGTTTTTGTTTTTGCTAAGAATACCAAGACTACTCAGACAGTCGGTGTAGGCATCCCGTGTTAACGTTGCTACTGTAGGATGCTTCTATACGCCAGGTGCAGATTTTTCTTTTACGGTTGCGGGATTAATTTCTGCAGTTCTTAGAGGATTTAGCAAAAAACTGACAAAAAAAATAAAGCAAGAAGTCTTGGCCTAAATAGAGGATGATCTAAATATGTTGTTAAACACTGAAGGCATTACTTGTTGAAACATTTAGATATTGGATCTGTTATGTGTGCTTATCCGAGGCGGTATAAATTACTCAATGCTTGATCCAGAAACACGATTGCTCAATTTTATTATTGACCAAGTCAATGAAATTGGAACAAGAAATCGGTGCATATTTTCCTGATGGGCTATCAAAACAAAGCATACGTTATTAGGTCTCATAATTTGGTGGGCCTAGCGCAGTAGGAAGTAGCACTACTCTTGTGCAGTGGGCCGAGGGTTGGACAGCGCCGATGGGACATCAGTCCCTCTTGAATTCGTTCATCCGTTTCAGTGGTGACCGGCATGCGCCAGGAAGTCAGAGCTTTCATTAACTTGCTTCTAAGCAACTCTCGAAGGAGGAAGCCATTAACAAGTAGTCAGTTTTTGGCAGTTTGCCAAAACTAGAGCTACTTTCCGCACTTTTGCCACCCTTAGAAAGTGAGGACTAAGGGAATTTTGACTTTTGATTTGATCTTCTTGTAAAAGTGAAATTTTTGTGCCACACAAAATAAAATTTTAATTTCATTTCCAGGAAAAACGTACATTTTTAGGACAGCTTCGGATGGCGTGGATAGGTTGATTTGTTCAATATTTGACTATTTTTTGGTGCTTTCTCACACTGAGAGCCGCGGACAAGTGATTATGGAACTGGGCAAAATTTACGCACTTGTTGATTATCTCATCAAAGCTTGCGATAATAAACCGCACTTGGCTTCTGTAGGTTAGTACTTTATGACAGTCTTTTCAAAGTACTAGGGACATATTCGCAGAATAAAAATTACTGGGTAGAATACATACGAGCAAGGCGTGAAAAAGCTACACTGTTTTATATCTCATTCGCTGAAATTCTCTGTAGATGTGAAGTATCGTGAGTGGCATCACTTTACCAAAAGCAGCCACAAAAACCAGCTCCTAGTACTTCAGCAGTAGAAATTGTACTAAAGCGTTTAGAGAAGCATTCGCAAACTGACTGAGATGACGGTACAAAAATTCTTGAAACTTGTTTTTCGGAGAATCCATTGCAAAATTTATACTGCTGGTCAATCACATAGGTGCATCTGTTTCAGCCTTAAACAGCCTTCAATTAGTAACGATTGACTGTGTTGAAGTCCTTGGCTCGTTCAATGGAACATTGCTGAAAATACTGCAGGCAGTTGCGTATTTAGCAGAATTCTGTCCGACGAAGGTCATCCAACTTTGGGCTGTTGCTGTTCTTGGCTCACATATCCGTGGAGATGCGCAAAGGTTGGAGTCGTTGTCTACTCAGCATTTAATGTCGGGGCTCTTTGACTTCAACAAAAATAACCTTCTTACATCATCTTTTCTTAGAAAGCATTTTAATCTCCTCTTTTGAGATAAAACGGAGTGATAAACCTTTTTTTTTTCTACGTCGAAGTCTTCTGACAATTTCTTTTGTGAAGTTGTATTTTAAACTCTTTCAGTGGTAAAATGATGCTGAAGATTTCCTTTTTTTACGACCGGACCGTGTGATAACGCCTTTTTTATGTGTTTTTTGCCCTATGAAGTGCAGAAAGCGCATACTTCGGGAATTTAATCTACATGCACATACGGGCCTTCATCCCCAGAATGGGCGCTCTTACTCACGTGGTTCCCTCGTAGAGGCTCGCCAAAGTTTTTGGCGAGTAAGCTGCTAACTCGGGAATTAGGAAAGCTAGAAAGCTGAAATTTTAAAGGGATTTTCCTCCTCAAAGTAAGTATTAATGAACTCAAAGATAACCTCCAGCTGTGTGTGATCCCCACGTATGGGCCCGTGAAAGTTTTTTTTCGGGCAAGTTGCTAACTCGTGAAACTGAAAACTTACAAGGCTGTGATTTTGGGGGATGTCCACTGACAGTTCTGATTGCCACTCTCAATTCTTTTAGCTAGAAGCATCTGCCGAAAAAAGACAGTGCTGTTAGCGACAAAAATCTGCGGAGAATTTCGCCAAAAACGCATCTTCGCACCGGCAATTGGCACTGGCCATTTGTTTACTTACAAAACAAGGCCATTGTTTCATGAAGCCGTATCCTCATGCACTTTTCTATGACTGTGTGTTATGATGAATTCCTTTTTGACAGACTCTGTTTTTTATGTTAAAATGACGTGATTGACTTTCTTTGCGAAGACCAAGCAAAACTTGAATAAACTTTTTCCCGTGACAAATTATTTAACGCAATTTCTTTAGTGGTGAAACTTGGCGAAAAAAATTTTTTTCTGATGTTTTTCCTCAGCACACCTTTTTTCGTGATCTCAGGAGGGGATTTGAGGTTTTGATGTTTTGTATTATTAATTTGACAGGTCATCATGGTCAACAAAACTTTTTTACAGCTGGACAAAAGTGTCTTTATCACTTTTTGACAATTTTCAACAACTAAGTGCCGAGAATTGGGACTTCAACACAGCTTTTAGCTCTACAGCACTACTTCGGTTATGCTGCGATTCGATCTTTCGGCCAATTGACGCTTTTTTCAACCATTTGGTCGCTGTTTTGGATGATGTAGGCATCTTTTGCTTTTATTTTTAAGATGATTAAATTTTAAGCCCCCTTGCATTGTCTTTTTTTTTAATTTTCACGAAATCACTGTGAAACTGACTGTTACTGATATATAGCCACATGCTGGAAGCAGTTACGCCAAACTTTTTGATACGAGTCGTCAAGTTTTCTAATTGAACGTAACTGGTCTTCCGAAATCATCTGAGTGATTGTTTTCTGCTTGGAACGAATATAACCTGACTTTACTGAGGACTTTTTAATTGATCGATTTTTTCGCCATGAAAGACAATTCTAGTTTTGGCTATCATGAAATTTTGGTCAAAGTATGGGGATTCTGGGACCAGTAGACACATCTGTAATCAGTTTTTGCTTGTCTCTAGATTATTGTCGATTTCATCTCGGGTCGCTTTATTAGGCGCTTACCAAATTCAGCACTTCCCAAAACGTTGAATCAAAAGAACTCATTTGTACATTTTTAAGCAGTCAACGAAATCCGCGTGTCCCTAGTCAGCATCGTTTCTTACTTGTTCCTCACCGATCTTTGGTTCGGGTTTTGGCACCAAAATCTTCAAGAGCCATCGTGCATGTTGTTTTCTGCTGCAAGCTGCATTCACTTTCTCGTGAACACAACGTTCTGTCTTTAGTCACTGGAAAGCGCGCACAGATTGTTGCAAATTTCGTCCTGGCTTTTTTTATTGGTGCCTTTATTAAGCAGTCTAACTCAGTCTAAAATGATGTCACATATCTGCAGTCTCCCAAAGAGCTCGATACCTCCTGCTCTTCTGTCGGCTCCTTCTGGCATAACCAGTTTCACTTTGCTGCTAATTCCGTCTTTTTTCTCGTCTTCGTGGCTAATATGCCGAGATTGATGTAAAGATTCATGTAAAGATTCAATGTTCTGCCACTAAAATTACTCGCTTTTGTAAGTGCGTTGGACTTATGACTATATCCTCTCCGCAAAGATGTGACCATTCCTGTACCACCTACTGATCGTGCCCCCTCCCCTTCCTTTTTCCTCTCGTTTGAACTGAAACAGGAGAGTTTGCAACACAATCTTCCTGTGTTTGGTAGCTCTTGCTTGTTGTAATGCATGGAAATTCCCCGGCCGTTTTTTGCTTCAGTGCCTTGTAGCGAACGGCGTTGCTCTTCCGTCCTTCACATTTTATCGTGTACGGCTACACTGAAGAGTAATGTATAGACATTTCGGACGGCACTTTAATGACTTCGACAATACTACTATGAAATTACGCATTTTTGCGATCTTTGGACTTGAGGTCTGTGGATGAAGATTGTGGTATTTTCATTTCTTGGCTCAGCTGAGCGTAACATCCACCGTTCTCCACGTTTGTTTAATTGAACGTTAACCCTGAGGGTGGACAGTGTTAATCGTCCTGTTTGTAATTTGTGACTTAATGGTTAGCTGTTGATTGCAGGATTTGCATTGTTTTTCTCGACTGGTGGCAGCATTGCCTTATCTTTTCATATTTCTTTGTGTTTTGAAGGAAGGTGCAACATTTACACGAATTGAACAGATCTGCGATAATGCAGTGGAAAAGATTGGGAGGTACTTGTCATCTTCAGATTTTAATTTTAAGAAGTTCAGTAGAAATATATGCTTTTTAAATCAAGAAGCGGTACTAAAAGCTCTCCCTAGCATTGATCTGTGAATTACTTTCTTTGATAAAACCGATAAATTTATAGGGCACTGATGGCCTTACTCAGTCAGTGCTTGATAGCCTTAAGATGCTGGACGTCATTATCCGTTACTGATGAAGAAAGCTGTGAAAATCTGGTGATTTGGTACCTTCTAATATTGTCACATGCAGTTCGTTCAGGTAAGAGTATTTATCCGTAACTTCTTTGATGCGCCGAGCAACTTCTGTTCCGTCACTTTGCTCGTTTGGGCTGTTGGTGTAGCTGACAGTGCTTCCATTCTATTCGGTTTTGAGCTGACTGTGCTCGCGCACCTGTACGTAACATTCCCGAATCAATTATTAATACTAGAAAATCATGTGTTATGTAGCTCTCAGTGTTACAGGATTTTGCTAGATCCTTTTATTTTTCATGGCTGGAATTTTTACTTGCCACAGCTGTGGCGTTTGTTTTTCATCTTTGTAAATTCCCTTAAATGACCCTTTTTTTTGTAATGTGTGGTGTTAAAAATTGTTTTTTAAAGGCAGTATGAGGTGTGTCACAGACACGTTTCGGGAAAATTTCTCAACAAATTCTGTGGATTTGCACGGCTTATCATTATTCTATCCGCGTGTTTATGTTCAGTTACTGGCGTTCATAAGCGTCACTGGCTTACATGATCAGCCTTTGTTTTATTCTTACTCTTCACGGTAAATCTTTGGAAATGAGCAGCTTGTTGCCAATTTTAGGCTTTTAATTAAGGCAGCTGCTGAAAAACTGTTAGGCTCGGCTACGCAATATACATTCTTTTGTGGGCTTGAGAGAGAGAGCTGCGAAAATCGCAGTCATGTGCAGTTTTCGGATTTTTTGTTTCAGTGGGATTTCGGAGGGAGAGGATACCCGTGCTACCGGCGCACAAGTGATGTAGCTGTTTTCTCAGTCACCAGTCTCACTAAAAACTCGTGAACGTTGCCATTCTTGATAAGAAAACATTCGAGGTAATCAAATAAACAAGAAACATGAATGCTCCAACTTCCCTTTATTTTCAAAAAAAAGGGTTTAACAGTTCTTTCGTTGTTACATGTTCAAACTTCGTGCTTTAGCTTTTGCAGCCCGGTTTTGTTTCCAGCAACATCATTTTTTTT